GAATTCTCGGGGTGAAGTCCTCCTCAGGCATGCAGCACAATACCATACAGGGATATTTTGAATACTTACTAAAAGCACATTTGCCATGAACATTCCTCTCAGCTGCTATAAATGTAATTATGTTTTGGGACTGCAAAATTGAGGTTCTTTAAAAACTCAACCACCTTAACGCTCCATTTCTGATGTATACAACAAGTGTAAAGAACAATAATCATACTTTATCCAGCCCAAGGTCACGTATTATCTTCTTTTCCCAATATGGGCGACCTTTGACACACTTTATTCTAGTAATAACGTGGATTTTGTGGGGCTGCTCAGGGTCACCTCCATACTTCTCGTGATCTCCAGGCCGCGGCTGAAATACCTAGAATGAAAAGTTCACAAAACCAGAGGGTTTTTTCCTAAATATCTGATAATTATTATTATAGTCAGCTACTCTCTAAAACATACTTCAACCTTGGTAAAAATTCTTACATGTTTTTCTTTTCAGGCGGTGAAAGTACCAACAAAATGAACTAAAACTTAGCATTTATAACAGGAAGTCAAATATATTTTTATAATGGTTTGCTGATAGCGACTCACAGAAACACACGGACAACACGGGACCACCTAATTCACATGCATCTCCTCAGGGAGCCTGTGCTCAGCCTCTGGATGGCATGTTTTTCCACAGGCTTTAAGAATGCTTTTAAGGAAAAGAATCAACTGACACAAGATGGTATCTTGCAAAAATAAGCTAAAGATGTAAATGTAAAAATGTGAAGTGCAAGTCAAACTTCCCATCGCTTTGGTTTACTTATTTATTGGACAAAATATTTCAGGTGGAACGGACTTATCAACAATCATCCAGTCCATCTCCTGATCACTTCAGGGTGAACCAAAAGTTAAAACATTATTAAGGCATTGTCCAAATGCCTCTTAAACACTGACAGGCTTGGGCAGCTGAACACCTCTCCAGAAAACCTGTTCCAGTGTTTGACCACCCTCTTAATAAAGAAATGCTTCCTCATGTCTAGGCTGAACCTGCGCTGATGCAGGTTCGTTCACATGCACACTGTCACTGGATCTTAGGGAGAAGAGCTCAGCACCTCCCTCTCTGCTTCCCCGCCTCAGAAAACTGCCGAGAGCAGTGAGGTCGTCTCTGAGCCTCCTTCTCTCTGAACCAGACAAAGCCAGAGTCCTCAGCTGCTCCTCTCAGGACATGCCTTCCATCCCTGTCACCACCTTTGTTGCTCTCCCCTGGATGCATTCAAAGACCTTCACGTCCTTTATAAATTGTGGGGCTCACACAAGCTGCACACAGCACGGGAGGCGAGGCTGCACCAGTGCTGAATATAGCAGGATAATCACCCCCTTTGACTGTCTGGTTGTGCTGTGTTTGATGCCCTCCAGGATGGGCTTTGCCCCCCTGGCTGCCCGGGTTCCCTGCTGACTTCTGTTGAGTTGTTGCCCACCAGCTCCCCCAGATCATTTCTTCAGGGCTGCTCTCCAGCCACTCTTCTCCCCGTTTATACCTGTGCCCAGTACCAATTTGTACCAGGTGCAGTATCTGGCATTTGTTCTTGTTAAATTTCGTGCAACTGATGACTGCCCAATGCTCCAATCTCTCTAGATCTCTCTACAAACTTGTAATGGTGTATTCAACTCCTGCATCCAGATCGCTGATAGGTATTTTGAACAGACCTGGCCCTAGAACTGAAGGCTGAGGAACACCGCTGTTGCCCTGTCACCAGTGAGATGTAACTCCATCCAGATGCAACGCTCTGGGCTCTGCCCTTCAGCCTGTTCTTCACCCAGAGCACTGTGAACTCGCCCATCCCACAGAGTCTCTCTGGAAATCTGTCATACCACAGCAAACACAAAATTTAGCAGGCTAACACCCGTTTTTCAGTTTCTCAATTACTGAAGCACATACCGAGTCTGGAATTCTCGACCTGGTAAAGAGACAGCGAGCCCAGGCTGGGGACGCCAACCCCTCCATCGTCTTTCCCAGCAGCTGCAAAGAGAGGAGGGCACAACTCGTCTGCACTTTTCTTGCAGCTCTGAATACTCGCAAAGAGACGACGCAGCCACGAGCCCCATTCCCCGCGCGGATCCCCATACGG